ACACCGCCTCATGCTGGCAGGACATGCTGGTACTTCTAGTCCTTCCCCGTGACAAAACACAGGCAGCCCCCTCCTCCACCATGCAGGCAGCACCGGCCCGGCATACAGACAGCCCCGAAACACTCACATAGCAACCGTGCGAGCAGCCGTCCCTGGAACATGTTGTGGGTCCTTCACCAATGACAGCCCCGGCCTGCAGAAGAGCAAGAAAGTCAGGGGTCCTGAGAGAGACTGCGGGGCTGCCCAGTGTATAGCCTGACTGGGAAGGAGCACTTACAGCCGCGTCACTTCACAATGGCTGCACTCTATGACTTCCCATAGAGTTGTACCTATGTTATATATTTCGGTGATATTTCTCTGATATTTTGGTTGAGCTTTGTAAGAATTTATAGATTACTTTACATAAGGACCGCTAAACAACGTCAGCGGGGATGATAGTTCCAAAGTTCTAGTTGCTGGTGGTAAAGACAGCCAATAAAAAGTGTCTCCATATCTTCGGAACAGAAGTGAGGGTGGCGGCCATGTTTCCGGAGCCTACTCTTCTATCATGTATGAGAATATGGCTGAAGCAAAATGGAGGCTTTTCTGGAGACAAGTTAGAGTTCATGAACTTGTGAAAGTGCTTCACATTGCACATACCTTAGGAGAAATAGTGGAGTGTGCCAGTTCTAGAACAGGAAGGGGCGGGGAATAGCACACAGCTAATAAAGTGTCCTCAGATGACCATACACTCTACAATCACATTGTACAATGTCCTGAGGGCCTGTCTGATTGGATGCATATTGTATGAATTGTTGGGCAGTATGTGCAGAGAGAGGAGTGCGGAGGGTGTGACATTGGGAAGCGTGTACGGGAGAGGAGTGCAGAGGGTGTGACATTGGGCGGCGTGTACGGGAGAGGAGTGCAGAGGGTGTGACATTGGGCGGCGTGTACGGGAGAGGAGTGCAGAGGGTGTGACATTGGGCGGCGTGTACGGGAGAGGAGTGCAGAGGGTGTGACATTGGGCGGCGTGTACGGGAGAGGAGTGCGGAGGGTGTGACATTGGGTGGCGTGTACGGGAGAGGAGTGCGGAGGGTGTGACATTGGGCGGTGTGTACAGGAGAGGAGTGCGGAGGGTATGACATTGGGCGGTATGTATGGGAGAGGAGTGCGGAGGGAATGACGTTGGGCGGTATGTATGGGAGAGGAGTGCGGAGGAATGACATTGGGTGTGGTATATATAGGAGAGGAGTGCGGAGGGTATGACATTGGGCGGTGTGTACGGGAGAGGAGTGCGGAGGGTATGACATTGGCCAGTATGTACGGGAGAGGAGTGCGGAGGGTATGACATTGGGCGGTATGTACGGGAGAGGAGTGCGGAGAGTATGACATTGGCCAGTATGTATTGGAGAGGAGTGTGGAGGGTGTGACATTGGGCAGTATGTATAGGAGAGGAGTGCAGAGGGTGTGACATTGGGCAGTATGTATAGGAGAGGAGTGCAGAGGGTGTGACATTGGGCAGTATGTATAGGAGAGGAGTGTAGAGGGTATGACAGTGGGCAGTATGTACAGGAGAGGAGTGCGGAGGGTATGACATTGGGCAGTATGTATAGGAGAGGAGTGCGGAGGGTATGACATTGGGCAGTCCAAAGTCAGTGGAGAGGAGACCCATACTTACCATCTGATGGCTGCAGCCTCCGCTGTTTACATCCAGTGCTGCAACGTCCTCGCAGTGGTTCAAGATGCGGGTTCGGAGACTCTGCAGTACACATGTTGGCCCTGTAGGGGATGACATTTCTGGGGGGGGGGCTGGATGTTGTGCAGGAACACAGCGGAATATGATTGGAGGACACTGCAGGGGTTCTGAGATAGGTGGAGGTTGAGAGGCAAAGGGGGGGTAAAGGTTGGAGGTCGGGGGGCCTTATGAGAGTCTGGAGGCTCTGCAGAAGGCAGGGGGACACAGTGGTGTGGGAGAGCTGAGCACTCTCAGAGGGGCTGGGGGCATTGGGGGGGTTAAGGGGCACTGCAGACAATTATGGGAGGTCGCGGGGCACGACTGTAGTACGTTATGGGCCTGCAGTCAGCTGGAACCCCGAGAGGAGGGAGGAGGCGGCCTGGCAATGGGCCAGGGGCAGTGGGTGGAGAACCTCTGCTCCACATGATGGCCTGCATTTATTGAATGGGTTCCACACCATGGCCTACATTTGTTCCTCATAGTGGCACATATTTTATGAGTGGGATCCACATTGCAGTCTATTAATTGGTTCCAAGTCATGGTTTACATTTTATAAATGTACTCCACATGACCACTTACATTTATATAAACGAGATCCACGTTGCAGTCTACATTTTGTGAATGGGCTCCACACCGTGGTTTAAATTTTAAGAATACACTGCACACCATTGCCTGAATTTCATGAATGGATTCCACACCATGGCCTGCATTTTATGAATGGTCTTCACACCATGGCCTGCATTTTATGAATGGTCTTCACACCATTGCCTGCATTTTATGAATGGTCTTCACACCATGGTCTGCATTTTATAAACAAGATTCACATTGCAGTCTGCATTTTTTGAATGGGCTCCTCACCATGGTTTAAATTTTAGGAATCCGCTGCACAGGCACTTGCCTAAATTTCATGATGGGTTCCACACTATGGCTTGCATTTTATGAATGGCCTTCACACTATGGCTTGCATTTTATGAATGGTTTTTACACCAGTATTTTAGGAATGGTCTTCACACCATTGTCTGCTTTTTTGGTCTTCACACCATGGCCTGCATTTTAATAATGCAAATTAATAAAATACTTGTGAGCCACTAGAAGTTTTCTTACTTATAAAGCAATAAATTCAGTGTATAAAAATACTTATAATATTGAATTTATGAATAAAGTGAACGACTAATAAATCAATTGACGTGCTCGATTAAATAATTAAGTATTTAGATCGCCAGGTACTTTTTACACCCTCTCCAGGTGTATGGATGTTAATTTCATATATCTATATTGTACCGCGCTCCAAAATTAATAAATCTAAGTGCTCTAAAATAAATAAATAAATATTGTATATAACTAAAAATTCAATAATAATCTATATCCATAATACTTAAATTCATAATTGCATAATACTTGAATCCATAATTGAAGTGAATCAAAAAAATTTCATTAATATTTGTGAATCAATGCAAAAAAAAAAAAAAAAAAACTGCGTGCCTGAAAAACTATTCAAAAGTGAAAAAATATATAATGATATATAATGAAAATATAAAAAATAGTTCAGTTCATACGAATTGAGATGGTAATGTGAATCAATCTGATTGACGTGGTAAGTCTATGTTCATGACATGAACCTCTCTCTCCTTCCTCCTCTCCTTTCTCCTCAATTCAGCTTTTCTCAATTAGGACTTTCTCCTCTATCTGCTTGGCTTATTCCTCCATGAACGATACATACATAGAAAAGGGAAAAATAAACATAGTGTCTTATCCTGAGTAATTTGGGGGGAGGGGCGGTGACGTCATCACGCATCCACAGAGGAAACGGCAAGTATAGCGAGTGAACACACACACACCTGCAGGGCTGTTTGCAGGAGGACCTGGATTTATTTACACAAAAGCGTTACTTTTGCTGATACCATGTGAGTGGGAGATCAGAAGCTCATTAAACATTTTTACTCAGGATAAGACACTATGTTTATTTTTCCCTTTTCTATGTATGTATCGTTCATGGAGGAATAAGCCAAGCAGATAGAGGAGAAAGTCCTAATTGAGAAAAGCTGAATTGAGGAGAAAGGAGAGGAGGAAGGAGAGAGAGGTTCATGTCATGAACATAGACTTACCACGTCAATCAGATTGATTCACATTACCATCTCAATTCGTATGAACTGAACTATTTTTTATATTTTCATTATATATCATTATATATTTTTTTCACTTTTGAATAGTTTTTCAGGCACGCATTTTTTTTTTTTTTTTTTTTTTTTTTGCATTGATTCACAAATATTAATGAAATTTTTTTGATTCACTTCAATTATGGATTCAAGTATTATGCAATTATGAATTTAAGTATTATGGATATAGATTATTATTGAATTTTTAGTTATATACAATATTTATTTATTTATTTTAGAGCACTTAGATTTATTAATTTTGGAGCGCTGCATTTTAATAATGGTCTTCACACCATGGTCTGCATTTTATGAATGGGCTCCTCACCATAGCCTACATTTAATGAGTGGCATCCACATTGCAGTTTGCCTGTTATGAACGGACTCCACACCATTGCCTACATTTTATGACTGGTCTTCACATCATGGTCTGCATTTTATAAATGGGCTCCTCACCATGGCCTACATTTTATGAATGGACTCCACACCATTGCCTACATTTTATGACTGGTCTTCACATCATGGTCTGCATTTTATAAATGGGTTCCTCACCATGGCCTACATTTTATGAATGGACTCCACACCATTGCCTACATTTTATGAGTGGTCTTCACATCATGGTCTGCATTTTATAAATGGGCTCCTCACCATGGCCTTCATTTTATGAATGGACTCCACACCATCGCCTACATTTTATGAATGGGCTGCACACTATGGGTTACAATTTATGAGTAGAAGCCACGTTACAATCTGCATTTTTTGAACGGCGCTACGCCATGGCCTGCATTTTAGGAATGGGCAAGTGTCCTCAACCACACAGGATCATGTCATGAATCTACAGTGCTCCCATGGGATACATTGTAGCTGTAGAACCCCAGATAGAAGGAGGAGTCTGTGACATTCAATGACTCCGCTTCATTGGTTCATGTAAAGAATGACTATTGTGCCTCTATAAACCATCTGCTGCAGCGTCTCTTCTATGAACTGCAACTACAGCGCCTCTGCTGGCCAGCCACATACATTACGGGTCTGGAGGTCGATAACTCCGCCCTGATAGGCAAGCTGCACATGCGCATTGTCTTACCGGATTACTCTTCCGGAATCAGGCACGTTCACTTCCGCCCGTCGTTGTCTGTATCTCCTCCTGGTGGGCGGGCTACACCGGCAGAGGGAGGATGGAGCGGTAGTGAAGATGGAGCGGAGGGTGATGGAGGGGGAGCGGGGTGCCCGCTGTGAGATGGCCGCCCTCCTCCAGGCTCTGGCCGTGCTCTGTGCCAGCCTCGCCCTGTCAGACCCGGGCTGGCTGCTGCTGAGAGTGGACGGAGAGCAGCTGGTGTACGGGGCTTCCTACATCCTCCACCATGGCTTCAACTTCACCGAGACTGGTGAGAGGAAGGGGGAGGGGAGGGTGTCCATACACTGTACCATCTGATCGTACGATCTTCTTTATACTAGAAGTGTTTGTCTAAATACATAGAAATGCAGCTTCCCGAGGAGAAGACTTGTCCCCTTTAAATCCTAATTCTCCGTTGATGTCGCGCAGTTTGTAATCGCACAGGACGCGTGTTTGGATGCCATTATGCGGTGCGATTCTGCTGGGATTGTTGCGTGACAGTCGCCGCAAAATGCACGTTTAACCAGAACACCGCTGCGCCAATTCCGACATTGCTCTCCCACCAGTAAAAATCAGTATTTATTTATTTTTTTATAGAAAATGACTTAAAACCATCAAACATATTTTTTTTTAAGCGGAAGACCTAGAGAATAAAATGGTGGGTGTTGCATATTTTTTTATGTCACGCGCTATTTGCACAGCAGCTTTTCAATTTCTTTTGGTGGAAAAAAAACCTGTAATTTTAATGCACAATATAATACCCCAGTTTTTGGTAAAATATACACCGCTGAAAAAAAATGAAAGGAACACTTTGAAACCCATCAGATCTCAATGGGGAGAAATCTCCTGCTGGATATCTATACTGATATGGACGGGGTATTGTGTTAGGAACGTAAGGATGTCCCATCGTTTGATGGAAATGAAACTTATCAACCTACAGAGGACTGAATTCAAAGACACTCCGAAAATCAAAGTGAAAAAATGATGCAGCAGGCGAGTCCATTCTGCTGAAATTTCAACTCATCATGGTCCTCAGTAGATTGTATGGCCCCCACGTGCTTGTATGCATGCCTGACAATGTTGGGGGAGGCTCCTAACGAGACCACGGATGGTGTCCTGGGGTATTTCCTCCCAGATCTGGACCAGGGCATCACTGAGCTCCTGGACAGTCTGAGGTGCAACCTGGTGGGATAGATCTAAACATGACATCCCAGAGGTGTTCTATTGGATTTAGGTCAGGTGAGCATGGGGGCCAATCAATGGTATCAATTCCTTCATCCTCAGGAACTGCCGGTATACTCTCACCACATGAGGCTGGGCATTGTCATGCACCAGGAGGAACCCAGGACCCACACTGCACCAGCGTAGGGTCTGACAATGGGTCCAAGGATTTCATCCCGATACCTAATGGCAGTCAGGGTGCCATTGTGTAGCCTGTAGAGGTCTGTGCGTCCCTCCATGGATATGCCTCCCCTGACCATCACTGACCCACCACCAAAACGGTCATGCTGAACGATGTTACAGGCAACATAATGTTCTCCATGGCTTCTCCAGACCCTTTCATGTCTGTCACATGTCCTCAAGGTGACCCTGCTCTCATCTGTGAAAAGCACAGGGCGCCAGTGGTGGACCTGCCAATTCTGGTGTTCAATGGAAAATGCCAATCAAGCTCTATGGTGCAGGACAGTGAGCACAGGGCCCACTAGAGGACATTGGGCCCTCTGGTCACCCTCATGAAGTCTTTCTGATTGGTCAGAGACATTCACACCAGTGGCCTGCTGGAGGTCATTTTGTAGGGCTCTGGCAGTGCTCATCCTGTTCCTCCTTGTACAAAGGAGCAGATACTGGTCCTGCTGAGGGGTTAAGGACCTTCTACGGCCCTGTCCAGCTCTCCTAGAGTAACTGCCTGTCTCCTGGAATCTCCTCCATGCTCTTGAGACTGTGCTGGGAGACACGGCAAACCTTCTGGCAATGGCATGTATTGATGGTGCCATCCTGGAGGAGTTGGACTGCCTGTGCAAACTCTGCAGGGTCCAGGTATGGCCTCATGCTACCCGTAGTGACACTGACCCTAGCAAAATGCAAAACTAGTGAAAACCAGAAAAGATTAGTAGACAACAAAATGTCAGTGGCCTCCTCCTGTAAAACTATTCCTGTTTTGGGGGTCATCTCATTGTTGCCCATCTAGTGCACATGTTGTTAATTTAATTAACACCAAAGCAGCTGAAACTGATTAATAACCCCCTCTGCTACTTACCTGACCAGATCAATATCCCAGGAGATTAATTCACGATACTGTACTCTGATTAAAAAGTGTTCCTTTAATTTGTTAGAGCAGTGTATAAAAGAAATGGCACCTAGTAAATAGTTAATATGTCACACTTTAAAATTGCACACGGAATGGCGACAAACTTCGATACTGAAAAATCTCCATAAGTGAGCACTTTAAAAGACTTGAAAGGTTACCAGTTTATAGTTACAGTACACAGGAGGTCTGGTGATAGAATTATTGCTCTCACTAAATGTATTTTATTGGAATTTTATGTGATAGACTAACACAAAGTGGCCCATAATTGTGAAGTGGAAGGAAAATGATAAACGGTTCTCAAAATTTTTGACAAATATCTGAAAAGTGTGGTGTGCATTTATATTCAGCTCTCTTTACTTTGATACCCCTAACTAAAATCTAGTGGAAGCAATTGCCTTCAGAAGTCACCTAATTAGTAAATAGAGTACACCTGTGTGTAATTTAATCTCAGTATAAATACAGCTGTTCTGTGAAGCCCTCAGAGGTTTGTTAGAGAACATTAGTGAACAAACAGCATCATAAAGGCCAAAGAACGCACCATACAGGTCAGGGATAAAGTTGTGGAGATTTTTAAAGCCGGGTTTAGGCTATAATAAAATATCCCAAGCTTTGAACATCTTATGAAGCACTGTTCAATCCATCATCCAAAAATGGAGAGTATGGCACAACTGCAAACCTACCAAGACATGGCCGTCCACCTAAACTGACAGGCCGGGCAAGGAGAGAATTAATCAGAGAAGCAGCCAAGAGGCCCATGGTAACTCTGGAGATCAACAGCTCAGGTGGGAGAATCTGTCCACAGGACAACTATTAGTCATACACTCCACAAATCTGACCTTCATGGAAGAGAGACAAGAAGAAAGCCATTGTTGGAAGAAAGCCATAAGAAGTTCCATTTGCAGTTTGCAAGAAGCCATGTGGGAGACACAGCAAACGTGGAAGAAGGTGTTCTGGGGAGGACCAAGAAATTCCCCCAATTTGCAGAAATTCCCTCTCACTTCTCATTTTAGCTATGGGACAGGAAGTGAAGAAATCTCCCCAATGGGAACAGGTGGCAAAAAAAAAAAAAAAAAGCTGATAGGGGTAAACCCCCCCCCCCCCCCAAAGAAAAAATAAAAACAAAAAGTCTTATAGTTCTACTTTAAATTCCACCTCTTCCAATTTCTTGTAATATTATGCATGTGTTGCAGTGTTTTGCGCCATGGCATGCCAAGTTTGACAGATGGTATGGTTTGTCAAGCCCAACCAATGAAGTATTTGGAGCCGCAACCACAACCCAGACACTTGACTCATGGTTATGGCACAATGTTTCAATGTGGAGAAAAATAAAACGCCCAAAAAAAAAAAAAAAAAAAAAAAAACACATTCAGGAAGCAGCAGAATCACCTCCTGAAAGCCTAGAAGCCACTACTGTCTTCTGAAAAGCGACACATGGATCACTTTTCAGAAGGCAGAAAAAAAAAAACTGCTACCCATGTGAAAGAGGCTTTAGAGTGAATGTGCACTGGTTGTACTAGGACTCCCCGGTGATAATTACACATCATAGTTCAGTGTGGAGATATATGGACTGGACATAGTAGGGGCTGTCTGTTGGTCTGCATTTCTTCTACAAGGGTTTAGTAGCCCCTTCAGTTACAGTGATGTGTGTCGTATTGCAATGATTGACTGATTCTCTTTTCAGGTACACACCAGCTGCTCCATAAAACCGGACTTTATATCCTGGCTCTGATGGCACTATGCTGCTACATCAATATCCTCATCGGATCCTTCGCCTTCATGCTGGACTTTGTCAGAGTCCGAATTAATATATCTACAATCCTGCACTTTATTACAGGTAATTTACTTCTGGACAGTTAAAAGAAGGGTTATGGACTCTGTCTGGTTTTTTATTGCTGTACGTGTCCCCGCTCATATGATCTACTGAGAGGGGCAGGCATATCAGTGTGTACCCCATGCGAGGGCTTTGTTTACCTGCGCAGGGATTGGGACACCGCGGCTGCACAGACATGGCCGCTGCTCCCATAATGACATCTGCATGGGTGTGTGTCCCTGAACTCTCGCTGTCTGTGTTCGGAGCCATGCACGCACATGGATGTCCTATCAGGGGTAGTGGCTGTGTCCGTGCAGCCATTGGGGCTAATTTACAAAAGGCAAATCAACTATGGACTTTGCAAGTGCAGTTGCTCCAGAGCTTAGTACATGAGGTGAAGCTTCAATTTACAAAGAATACCCAATCACATGCAAGGAAAATAATAAAAATATAATTTTTGCTGGCATATGATTGAATGATGGGAGTCAACAGAGCTTCCCTTCATTTACTAAGCTCTGAAGCAACTGCACTCGCAAAGTGCACAATCTATCTGCCTTTAGTAAATCAACCTCACTGTGTCCCAATTGACATCCATGAAATGGGATTTACAGAACACCTGTGCATCCCCGTGCTGGTAAACATGGCTCTCTCACGGGGTACACATGTGAACGAGGCCTTACACTGTATGTGATCCCAAATATTGGTACCGATCACATGACTAGATTCCACAGCCGTCGTGCTCTCTAACCAAATGGTAGGTACGGCTAACTATTCAGTGGGTTATGAGTTATTAATCACATCATTCTTCCACCCAAAGCTGAACATTTTGCATTGCTCTTCATATTATTTACATATCCATTCAGGACCCAGCACACTTAAAGAATGTGTAAACTCAACATTTCATATTCCTGATCTGTGCCTGCTGTACCATGTGTTTGTATGTAAACGCATCCTGTTATCCTGTTCTGTTTGTATTGCTTCCTTTGTGTGAAATCCCCGGTGTCTCTGCCAGTCCTCTGTTTTCCTATTAAAAACCACACTAGGCATGAGAACACACTTTGGTCAGTTCTCTAGCTATGCTGGGAACCCAGCCTGCTCTCTTCCAATGATCAAACTTGTCCTTACACCCCTCCCCTGTGCAGCCATTCACTGGGAAGATTAGTGTCCTGCCGTTTCTCCTCCCCCAGCCCTTACACAGCTGAGGGAATGTGCAGGAGTATAACCTGTACAGAGGACTAATCAGTTAGACTGGCTGCTGCTAGCAAAATCACAAATGTGTACGGGTGAAAAAATGTGTGAGTGCAAACATAAAAATTGCTGCCTCTCCCAAAACTACTTTAAATAATAAATTAAATGAACTCCCTATTACAGAGTCCCCCACGAATGTGCATGTGCTATAATGCCCTGTGGGCTGGCAATTATATCCCTCCTCCCCAGTGACTGAATCCTAAATAAACCAAGTAAATACAAGGTGCTTAAACGACAGTAGTGGAAAAAATAGCACATCTCCAATGCCATCAAGTGTGTGTGTGTGTGTGTGTGTAATTATATATATTATGTATGTATGTATGTCCCAATAATGTGCAGACATATAAAAGTTAAAAAACAATTGAAAGTTAAAAAAAAAACCCCAAAGAAATCCGCATCCGTTGTGTATATTAAGTGATATAGTAATAAATCTTATCCATAGCAATTCTCTGTGCATAGTGCTCCAATTAGTGCTCCCCCTCCAGAGCCCCACTCACCACACATAATTGACCACCCAAATTGGTAGGACAAATATCACATGAGATGTTGCAGCGCTCTCCTGCAGGAAAGTTGGCCGTCTGTGTGGTCTTGACACCTCTATACGCTGATAACAGACTCCATAGTGGAAACACCTCTAGATCAATCGTTTGCGACAAAACTCCTCCAGAACCTCTGCAGTACTCCTCCTCCACCACCGTAAAAACATCAAAGGGAAACCTCCATAGCGTAACACCGTATTTATTAGGTAAAAAAAAACACTTAAAATTGCACTTGCATAAAAACCATGTGTATGGCACTTTAAATTACAGGAACAAGCAGTTCCTTCTCAGGACGACAAGTGTAGCCCTATCAAGCCCCGCCCTACATGTTTCGTCATATGACATCATCAGAAAATAATTTTGCAATAAGCACAAATATTCTATTATGTACAGTATAGCAGACAAAAACTTACATATGAATCCAAATTATTATTTTTTATTCACAGGTTAATGGGCAATAACATATTCACACAGAATGGATAAAACTTTTGCAACTGAATTCTTAGTTCTTCCAATATGCCAGCAGTTCAGTTTGTTTACCCAAACGCATGACCTTTTGTTGACTTGTGTTCCAGGGTCACATGACCACTGTTGCAAACCATGGATTGGGTCCTGTTTGAGGACACGTGACCATTTTTAAAAAGCCAGAGCCTGAGTTGTGTTTGAGAGTCATATGACCACTGTTCGATTCCAGAACCCAGGTTCTGTTCAAGGTTCTCATGACAACAGTGGCACACCATACCTTTGTAGTGCTGCCCCCATAGGGTCCGCTTGATAATGCTTGTCCCCAGTGGTTGCCCTGACCTTGCAAGCCTCCCGACACCTCTGACACTCTAAGTTCAGACATATTTCAACAATATAGATAATAATAATGCAAGAGACACAATGCTTCGTAACTCCTCTATATTAGACTTGTTTAACAGAGTAGGCCACCGGAATAATGGGTATAGGATATACAGCTCCAGTTAATGCATAAAAGCAGAACACTGGTAAAACAGGAATAATTGGCAATGTTTAACAAATTATACAGTCATGAGTGGTAAGCTTTAACTATTAAACTGCAACACCAGCAGTAAGAGGGGGAAGAAAAGGCTTTGTTGACTTATCAGCTCCCTCTAGGCCCCTGTCACCGCAATTGGGGATGCAAAGAACTATGTAAATGTATACTATAGATATAAGTATCCTAATCTGAATAGGAGAGATGGGGTCTCTTTATCAAAAACTTTTTAACTAGAGATTCTTGAGTCCTGTGAGGTTTACAGTGGTGTCCCATTGTCTTCTGCTAGCAATGGTGGGGGCTATAAACATTAGTGAATATTTGTAATTTAATAAAGTTAAACAGATAAGCCATGGTACTGTGCAAAGCTAATCTCTCTTGGTACTGTAAAGGTGTCTACATGCAGTGTCTCTAGAGTATTCACAGAAAGACGGACATCCGCCCGCTGATCAATCCCATGGATAGCATGGCCTCCTATCGGCCTTTTGGCTAAGATCAAGTGTAGTATCTGTTCTTATCAGTGTCCAGTAGGGGTGCTCCACGGTCATTCTAGCTTTGTGGGGATGACTGTTTTGTATAGTACCCCTGCTGGTATGATGGGGGTCCTGGTGGCTATTACGGGGGGAACAAAAATCGGGAGCCCACGAGTAGTAGCTGTGGCCTGGGAGTAATTCCCCTTTGGAACGTCAGGGGGACCCAGTACCTCCTGATTTGAGCAGATCTACCTTGTCTGGCCAGGGGTCGGGAAGGCAGAAAGTCCGCAAACCAGTGCCCCCTGAGTTGTCGCCTCAGGGGTGCCCTTAGTAACACCTGGGTGTGGGACCCCACAGTGTGAAAATGGCACATGGTCACTGTGTTTACCACTTTTCCTGCACAGCGCCCTTAGGACCAGGCCTTTTGGCTAGGACCAGGGCAATAAAATTTTTTGCTACAGGCCTCAGGGCCTGGTCTGTGCACTATTTGGCACGACCACTTTTTTTTATTTATATTTCAATATTTTTATTGAGAAATAAACATATTAAAACAAGATGGCTAACAATAAAAGAAAAGAAAAAAAAAAAGAAAGGGCCCACCAACAAAATGGAACCAGATTCAGAATCATAAACATAATACTGGTAGGTAAAAAAAAAAAAAAAAAAAAAAAAAAGAAATTTAGCAGATAATAGCATTACAATGCACATGAAAAAAGTCAAAGCCATCAAAATATATACAAGTTTCAAAGATCAATAAACAACAATTATAGCAAAATAGACCAAAAATAACAAAGAAAAATAAAAATGTTTAACAAATAGTAGGAAAAGAGAAAAAAAGAGGAAAAATAGAGAAAGGAGGGGGGGGGGGGGGTCAGCTGCCAGACACTCACGATACAGTAATATAAGCAATCCAAGGATCCCAAGTCCTCTCAAATCTGGACACATCATCAGAGACGATACTCGTCAGTTTTTCATTAACCATTATCCAGTTTCAGTTTTTGTTTCACCCTATCCACGGGATCAAAGATTGCTTCCAACTCCTAGCTATAGTAAATGCGAGCCGCCAATAAGATATATACAATTAGTTTAATCGATCTTTGGAACAACACATACAGAGGGTAGTATATTAAACAAGGCTACTTCCGGCGATCTACGGATATTAATTCCTGTCACTGAGTAAAGAAAATTAAATATGCGGATCCAGAACCTACTCACGACTGGGCATTTCCACCAGACATGGAACATAGTACCCTCTTGACCACAGCGTCGGAAACAGGCAGAAGAAACGGAAGGAATACATAATGGCTAGGCGAGCAGGGACCAAATACCACCGAAGTAGCGTCTTGTAATTAGATTCAACAAGATCAGTGTTAATCGAAATCTTCGATAAGGCATGGCCCGCCGTCCCGCCAGGTATCCAAATCCAATGAACTATTTAAATCCCGTTCCCATAAAGTCATGTAAGACAATTTTGTTAGAGGATCAACCAACAAAGCATAAACAATGGACAAGCGACCCCGCATTACCCCACTCGCCCCACAGGACAACCTCGAGGGAAGTAAGCGCACAAGGTTCTGTGAGTAGTCTAAGTTTGCTATCAATAAAAAGAGCGAAGTTGATGGTAACGAAATATCTCTCCACGATGGCATCCCACAAAAATTTCAAAAAATACTGACGAGACCCGAGGGCGAACCCCATCTAAATAATCACCAATACGTAGCAAACCCTTATTAATCCACCCCATTGGAAACCCGCGAAAGACAAACC